AACAGCAGCAGCACTCGTCCGGCCGACGCGTCCTCTCTTTTCGTTCCCGCTCCAAGGATGGCCGTGCTGCATCGTCAACAAGAAAGCGCAATGGTGCCGGCAGGGGCGATCGCGGGCTCAACTTGATCAGGATACAGGTGGACGCCGTTGTTCCGCAAGCACTGTGCATTTTGGTCGCCTTGATGTATGGCCAGGGCGTGGACCAGGCTGCCTCTTTCGCCGACACCAGCCCACCTTCTTTGCCCACTTCGACCATGACCTCCCCCTCATCCACGACGGATGCGCAATCCCCCTTTGCCGTGTGGTTCGAAGACGTCTTTGCTGTTGCGCATCAGCTGCAGATGCATCACGTCTGTGAACTGCTGGTGGCCCGCGCAAAACAGCACATTACCGAGTGCCTGCAACCATCGGCCGCCACTGCGAACAGAATCACTGCATGCGCAAGTCCCGCGCATGTGCTTGGCTCGTGGTGGCGCCGTGCTCAACATCCAAACCTGCGCGGCATCCGAGAGCACGTTGTTGCGACCGCCCTGTGCCATGTCACTACAAGCGCCTTCGCCGCTGACGCTGATGACACTCGTGCTGCTGTTGAGCAGACGACAACAGCCACCAGCAGCGGCTTCGTTTCTTGTGATGACGGTCACAGTGCGTGTGACACAAGCACGCGGCGGCTTGACTCGTCGCCCTTCACTGCATGGCCGGCCACAATGCTTGCAAGCATGCTCATTGCTGCTCGCCCGCCACACCAGCTGGATGACGTTGTCATGCTTCTCTCGCGCTGGCTCCATGCCCGCACACCAGCACAGCAACAGCAGCAAGGGCAAGAGCAGTTACCTCCCTGTGTACTGGCTGCGTTGACCAACGCAAGTGGTTATGCACGACAGCAGCGAAGCAGCAGGAGCGGCAGTGTCACCACCACCACCACCACCACCGCCACTACCACGACTGCTAGTGCCACTGCTAGTGCTGCACTCACATCCCCAACACATGGTGAAGAACAAGGGCAGCAGCACATCTTTGCATCAAACACAGACACGGCAATACCGGCAACAGCTTCCCAATCGCCGGCCAGTCGCAATCAACTGCAGCTCTTGCGTCATTCCCACTCCTCCTCGCCCGCGTTTAGGCCTTTGGTTCCGCGTGTGTCACCGGCACGGCTGTCCGGTCGCACCCAGCCAAAGGCGCCGCGAAATTCACACACAACGACAGGCATGCGTGCGCGTGCTCGCAGTTTGGGAAGCAGCACAGAGACGTCGACAAGCGAGCACAGCGCTCTGGCGGTCACACCACAGCACAGGCCCGCTCGCCCAGCCAGTGTGCGGGAACGAACAGCCCATGCACGCGCACACACACCCACAACAGCGCCACCAGCCCACATCCGCAAACCCGCCTGTGCCAACAACAGCACCAGCAGTGCAAACGACACGATCGACAGCGAAAGCACCACAACGCCGACTACTGCTGCTGCTGGCGGCGGTGGTGGTGGTCGGGGCCGCAGCTCTGGGCGAAAGCGGTGGTGGAAACGGCGATTGCGACTCAGCAAACGTGGATCATCAACGCAGAGCAAGGCTGACGATGTTGATGGCAGCGACGGTGGAGGCGGTGGTATGGGCACTGGTGGTCAATATGGAGACGAGCAAGATGGTGCTGCGATGCAATCATTGTCACACGGTTATCACAGCAGGCCAACATCAGCAGCAGCAGCAACTGCAGCGGCAGCAGAATCGCGGGAGTTTAGCGCTGTTCGCACGAGCGTGTCACCGCGTCGTCGCACGCTGCCTGCTGTCCACGCTGTACCTCCGCGTCCACCAGTCATCTCACTGATTGGCGCGCGTGCATGGAGCGAGCTGGCATCAGCTCTAACCGCTGCATGTGGCGGTGCTGTGCCATCTGCCCTCGTGAACTTGCGCGCGCCCCATCGTGCATCCGTGGAGGCGAAGCATCGTGATGGTCATGCTCATGGTGGTGATTGTGGCGGCGACACAAACACGGCGCACGCCAGCCATGACGCACGCGATGTGGAGCAGCAGCAACAACAACAACAACAGCAGCAGCAGCAGCAGCAGCAGCAGCAGCAGGAAGAAGAAGAAGAACAACAACAACAACGACGACAACAACAACAACAACAACAACAGCAACAACAACAACAACAACAACAACAACAACAACAACAACAGCAACAACAACAACAACAACAACAACAGCACCAGCAGCAGCAGGTGAGGAGTTCATCGGCAGTTGATCCATCGCTGCAAGCAGCCGGACGCGAACGCCGGCGCAAGCTTCCCTCACGTCCACGTCTCCCACGCTCAAATTCCGTTGCGCAGTCTGTCATGGCATCATCCACACCACCGCCACGCCAGGGCTCGGGCATGTTGTCTCGTTCACTCACTGCGCAGTCGCTTCGTCACATGCTACCATACCACCACAACCGCCGCCGCCGCAACACACCACCTACGTTCGATCCACACCCCAACGCGTATCAACACCAACACCAACACCAACACCAACACCAACACCAACACCAACACCAACACCATCAGCACCAGTCGTCACAATCGCGGGGTTTGCGCCGTGCGAGCGTGAGCAGCGGGCAGTTACCGCCGTCCTTTGGGACAATGGCGCGATCAAGTGGTGGAAGTGTCAGCCGCAGCAGCAGCGTCACCAGCCGTGGCGTGGGGCTGTCCTCACACGTGCCGCTGCTCACACTCACCCCCGCAGATGCAGCAGCACGGGCATCATCATCACCACCACCACTGCCGTTCCCGCAGTCATCGCGCCGGCTGTCAGCGACTTCGTCCCACGCATCAACACGCCGTTACTCGCGCTTCTCTGCGTCTTCGCACACGCGCACGCGCTCGCCATCAGCAGAGTCTGTGTTTGCCAGCGTCTCGCCACGCACAACACCACTGCCCGTGCTGCACCTGCGTCACCTCGTGTCACAAGGATGCCAGACAGACAGCAATGAGGAGGGCGCTCATGTTGCGAGTGAAGACAGCGCAATGCACGCCACAGGCGTCAACACGGCAGCTTCTGCCTCGATTGCAGGGCGACCCGCTGTTGCACTTGAAGGGGAAACTCACGGCCGTGATGGTGAAGAGGAGAATGCAGACAGCGGCGGTGACTGTGGCACTGGTGGTGGGATTGGTGATGTGAGCACGATATCTGCACCCCAGGAGTCGACACGCTTCACGCTCGCGCCGTTGCGACGCAGCTCCCATCACACGTCCGCGATGGATGAGAACGACAGCACCTATGCCTATGATGGTGGTGTTCAGGATACTGTTGGGGATGGTGATGACGACCACATGCGTGGGGGTGTTGACTTCCCTTTCCGTGACATCTCATTGTCCAGAGGCCTTCGTGATGACGGCACAAGCGCACGCGAGCGCGTGTGGTCATTCACGTCATCCACAGCAGACGAGTCGCCAATTCGGATGCACCACCTCAGCCGTTGCCACCCTGATCAGCAGCATTCTCAAGGCGATGGCCGCAGTGGTGTCTCCGGTGTGGCCAACGCTTGCAGCTTTGACTATGGTCATGATGGTGGGTATGAGTATGGTGATGGTGATGGTGATGGTGATGGACGGAGTGACAGCGAGTTTATTCCGCCACCCGCCATGTTCTGGGCTGCGGACGCCGAGCACACGGGCGCTTTTGCGGCAGTCAATGCCAACATGAACCCGCTGACAGCGTTTCCACCGCCGGCATTTTTCGAGGACGACAGCATGTTCATGCGCACAGGAGCGGCTGACGCTTCTTTTGATGGTGGCGACCCAAGTGATGAGATGGCTGAAGTTAGCGACCCGCACTTGGACGAATGTGACGAGTGCCGTGGTGATGACGACGACAACGACAATGAACCTGATCAAATGGTGTGCGCACACCGGCACGCTACTGTCATTGATGCTGATGATGTTGGTGGCGATGCAATGGATACCACAGCAAACTGCAGCAAAGCCAACGATCAATGTGACGATGACGATGATGATGATGATGACGATGATGATGATGATGATGATGATGATGATGATGATGATGATGATGATGATGATGATGATGATGAGGGAGAGAATGAGTGGCGATCGCTTGATGATCTCGATGTTGACAGAACAGCGTACACGATGCCAGCGTTTCAGCGCCAGCAGCCGCAACCAAAGCGTTCCACGCAGATATCACACTCGCAATCGCACATGTCCAACAGCAGCGGTTGGCATGGTGCCTTTGATCTTGCCGGTGCACGTGTTCGCGATGATGGTGACGGTCACATTTCCCCGCTCGGCCAGACAACAGCAAACAGAGCGCTGCCCACGCGCGCGGGTGCTGCGAAGCAGTCAGCAGCAGCGAAGCGTGAACAACACATGCCCGCGGGCGTGCCGTGGACAGCAATTACAGCGCCATCAGCGCATGAATCAGAGACAGGCGCGCCGTCTGTGCCGCTGTCGGGGAGTGCAGGCCCTGTTCCACGCATTGTTGTGTGCGGCGGCGAAGGCATGAGGGATGTGGGGTACTCGTTGCAAGCATTCCACCACGAGACAAACACGTGGGTGTCGTTGGCTGAGGCACACCTTCCCCGCGTGTGTGCGGCATCTGTCGTCGTTGGCGCGCACTTGTATGTGTTCGGTGGCGAGAATGCGTTTGGCTCATGCGAAGTGTTTGACGCGACGTGCAATGCCTGGACAACACTGCCACCGTCGCGTGCGTGCCTCGCTGGTGCAGCCGCTGCTTCTGTCGACAGCACCATCTACGTGCTTGGCGGACACGGCCCCGATGGTTTCGCGCAGGCATGTCTCTCATCCTATCACACGCAGACGAGAGCGTGGACGGCACTGCCTGCCATGCGACAGGCCCGCACACACCACGCCTGCACCGCGATTGGCGATTCTGCTGTGATTGTTGTTGTTGGCGGTGAGACGTCAGCAGGCGAACCAACAAGCGATGGTGAGAGTTTTGGTCCTGCTTGCTGTTTGATTGGTTGTGTTTGTTTGTATTTGTTTGTGTTTGCTTGTGTGTGTGTGTGTTGTTTGTGTTTGTTTGTGTTTGCTTGTGTGTGTGTTGTTTGTTTGCTTGTTTGTTTGTGTAACTGTGTGTGTTTGTGTTTGTTTGTTCGTTTGTTTGCTTGTCTGTTCCTTGTGTGTAAGTGTGCGTGTGTGTGCTGTTCTATGCCTTCGTTTGCACTTTCATGATTACGTATGTATGTGTGTGTGTGTGTGCTCGTCTCGCGCAGCTAACGCTGAAGCGCCCATGCTTTCTTTGGTGAACTCACACAAACTATGTTCACATCACAACACCCCCTGCCAATCATTGGCCAGTTGCTGCGTTTGATGCAATCACAAACAAGTGGACACAGCTTCCTCCCCTCGCCGTTGCCAGGAGCCGCACTGCCGTCTGCGGTGTTGACGGCAGTGTGTATGTCATTGGTGGGCGTGACGTCAACGGAGACGAATTGTCGTCTGTGGAAGTCCTCCACCCCGGTGCAGGCGAATGGATGCCAGGGCCACCTCTCCCGCACCCGCGAAGTCAGCTGGCCGCCGTGTGCTGTTTTGGAAAGATCTGCGTGTTGGGCGGATGCACTGGCGATGTCGACTTGCACGACGCAGACGCCATCCTGCAGCTCTCATTGCAGGTTGGACGCACGTGGCTCCCTTGTGTGTGTGTGTGTGTGTGTGTGTGTGTGTGTGCGTGTGATTGTTTGTGTGTTGTGTGTGCGTGACCGTGTGTGTGCGTGTGTGTGCGTGTGTGTGTGTTGTGTGTGATTGTTTGTGTGTTGTGTGTGCGTGACCGTGTGTGTGTGTGTGTGTGTGTGTGTTAGCATGGGAATGTATGTTTGTGATCTCTGAGTGCAATCATGCAAGCCAAGTGCGTGATGTTTTCCTTGTCGTTCCACGCTTCCATCAGCGTCCACCTCATGCGTTCGTGTCTTTGTCTTCGCCCCATGCCTTGATAGACGCACACGTGGGGTTATGGGACGCTGCCGTCACACAGCAAGCTCAACAGGCGCGCAAGCTCTGGTCGCAGTGTGTTCTCCACACTTGGTGTGCGTGTTGGCCTGTGTGCGGGAACACTTCCCTGCACACTGCCCGCGCCATCATCCGATATGCTGCTGGCGATTGAGGAGTTTGAGTGCAAGTTTGGCGTCGTGAACATGCCCTCTGGCGCCAAGTCTGTGTACCACGCCATTACATCACTGGCCATGGAGGAAGGGGTTGAACCGAAGGACCTGGAAACCTGCTCCCACGTGCCCGTCAGCCACGGCAGACTCATGTGAGTCAGCAGCTACACGTTTTGTGCGCGCGTGTGCGTCTGCGTCTGCGTACAGTTGTGTGTTCTGTGAGTTTGTGTTTGTGTGTGTATGTGTGTTTGTGTTTGTGTGTGTTTGTGTTTGTGTGTGTTTGTGTGTGTGTGTGTGTGTATGTGTGTGTGCAAGTTGATGTTTGTGTGCGCCCGTGTACGTGTATGATATTGCTGTCACTGTCAAGTCCAAAGTGCCACATACAACAAGGGCCTTCTCACTGTCACCCCATTCATCATTCCATCTCGCCAGGCGTGTGCTGTCGTGGCTGGAGCAGCAGGGCATGGTGTATCGATCAGCCACCAATGGCCGCTACAAGCAGACGCTGCACCTCAGCCCCGACGATTACATCTCAGAGCACTCCGAGCCCGAGGCCCAGGAGGTGTAGCAGCGCGCGCGCGCGCGTGTGCGTGCGTGTGCGTGCGTGTTTGTTTGTGTGTTTATCACCGTGTATTTGACTCCTTGCGTTTGACATCGATGGTTGATTAATGTAACAACCATAACTCAAACTTTCAGACATCACTCGAGCGTGTGCGTGTGCACGCGATCTTGCGCAGCTGGCATCTGAACGTGTTTCATTGTCATTTTCACTTCCATCATCAGTTAGGCAGACCATCCAATTCATAAGTAAACCCGTATCATCATGAAAACCAGACGGAAGACGTAAGAAAACGCAAAATGGATGAGTTAAACATACAATCACACGCACACGCACATCACATCACGGGCGGTGAAGCATGGATGGAAGGTCCTCCTCATCTGTGTCGTCCATCACAAACTCGGAACGATCCTCGGCAAAGCTGCAATCAACGTGCACAGCTATGTTGGAGCAGTGTTGAGTAATGTCACAGCACGTGAGTTGGCAAGTTTGATGGTGCTTGATTGGCGTGGGGGAAGGGGCTTAAGAGGATGTCATTATGATCACTGGGACAGCCAACCCCACGCACCCCAACAACTCACAGGGAAGGGCAGCGGGGATCTTGGTTGGTGACACCCACGTGTGCCGTGCATTGACAGACTGCAGACGAGAGAGCCCGTTCAGCTCAGCCAGTCCTGCAAACAAGCAGTGCACGGTTACGAGTTACAGTTACGAGTTGTCGCTACGACGAGTGACGGACAGGTCCTGTCCAATGGCATCACTGCCTGTTGCACACGTGGTATGTGCGTACCTTTCGTGCTCGTGTGCGTGCGCTCGATGCTGAGCGTTTGCAGAGCAGCGCAGTCGTTGAGTGCGTGTGCGTGAAAGAAAGTGTTCGTGATGCGCGTTCTCGACAGATTCAGCCGCGCAACAGCGGCAAAGCCTGCGCAACGAGAAAATGGTGGTGGTGGTAGTGGTGGTGGTGGTTTGGAGGGGAGGGGGGAATATGGCATCGTTTATTTAATGGGTAGCGTGAGTATGAAAATGTGTGTGTGTGTGTGGTTGTGTGAGTTGCGTGAAGATGTTTTGTGACGAGGGAAGTGTTTCAACACAAAAACCGCGCACCTTTGAATGCTGGCGCGCATGCGTCTGTGACATCTGTACGGGAAATGTCGAACGTGTCCAGGGAGGGCAGCCCAACACCTGGCACGACGGTAGCAGTTGGGGTTGCGCGCGAGTGAGTGAGAAGCGAGAGAGTGTGTGTGCGTGAGAGAGAGAGAGATAGAGTGTGTGTGTGTGTGTGAGCATTGGGGATATCAGCACACGGGAAGTGAAAGGCACGAAGAATGGGAAGATTGGTGGAATATGTTACACGCTGCGCTGTTGTGATTGAAATGGGTGTTGGTGTCGTTGGTTGTTGGTTGTTACGTAACGTACCCCCAATATGGAGCAACGCGGCGTCGGTGAGGGCGGTGTTGCTCAGCGACAGCGACTGCAGTCTTCACACCACAGACAGGAACGTGTATGTACATGTACAAGTGTGTGTGTGCGTGAGTGTGGATGCGGATGTGTGTGAATGTTTGGGTCGTCGTCATGATGGGAGGAACACACACACACACACACACACACACACACACACACACACACACACACACACACACACACACACAAGCACACACACAAGCACACACACAAGCACACAAAACAATTTGCAGAACTCACTGCTGCATGGCTGCGATTGCCTTGAGGCCGTCCGGTGTGAGCTGGTAGTATCCGCTCAAATCGAGCGTGGTGACGTGGGTCAACGTGCACACGTGCGCGAGACACGCGTCGTCAAAGGAATCACGCGACGACAAAGTCAATTCAGCCAGGCTCCCGTGCCCTGAACATGGCGTCAAGTTTGGGAGTGGTGAAGGATGAGCGCGGCAAAAACAAACCGCTTTGATGTCAACCTGCGTGTTTTAGAAAACTAAAGAATTGGCACAGGCACGAGCGGAGATACACTACACACGTACACACACGTACACACACGCACACACACGCACACACACGCACACACACGCACACACACGTACACACACGCACACACAAAGCCAACAGTGGTAGTCTTCACGGCAATAGTGAGAGAGCCACGAGTAACTGACTGACCCGCCCATGGCGCGTAGGCGTCGGATGAGAGATTGAGCCCAAACAGGCCGAGCGTGGTCATGTTCGTTGCAGCGGCGAGGGCACCCACTTCCCGCTCGCTCGCGCGTGTGTACGAGAGATTGAGGGAATACAGGTGTGGCAGAGACGCCAGCTGGCCCACCGCGCGTACCTTCAGAGCGGTGAGTGATGTACACAGACGAATAAACATCACACCATGTAACACACACAAACCCGGTCGTGTGAGAAGTGGAAACGTGTACACGTGCAGTGTGTGTGTCGTTTCGTGTGTTGAGTTTGTTTCTTTGTTTTGTTGCAGCAGGGAGGTGACTTACAGGTGTTTTTGAGAGGGACAGGTGCCCCAAATCGGTCAGGCCACAGATGCTTGGCAGAATTCCATCTGCAAAGACACACGACAGTGTCGGCGTGTGAGACATGGAAAGAGCCCAGAAAGCACACTCTCATGCAACATCGCCTCTCCCACAATGCTCATTCGCACAAAGACGCGCACATACATGCACACATTCATACGCACAAACACGCACGCACGCACCGTCCAGGGCTGGGCACGATGTGAGAGCGAGAGATTGCAGGTGGGTGGCGGTCGGGGACGAGAGGAAGCGCGCAAACTGCTGCGATGAAACTCTGGCGCCGTTGAGGGAAAAATGTTCCAGCGGGTGGAGAGACATCAACGCGTCCACACACGAGTCTGTAAACGCGCCGCTCAGGTGCAGGCTGGCCAAGTTTGGGGCGCCTGACAGTGGCAATAGTGGTGGCCGCCATGATGTGAGGGATAAGGGGCAACGGGCACCAAAACGCCGAGCGAAGAAATTCTGGCGTGAGCTGCACACACGCATCACACACACACACAATTGCGAGACACACGCATGCCATTCACCACCACGATCATCATCGCCATTCACCACACCTTTGAGAGCTGCAATTCCGCGAAACGTCAGCATGGGACAATCATAGATTTCCAGCTCTGTTGATGGCGGGCGGCGGTGGTGCACATGAGTACACGTGCGTGCAGTCCTCAAAGCAAAGACATCCAAGTATCAACAAACTACACACAAAAACTAAACAGAGGGTACACAAATCAAAACTACACAAACAAAACTACACACGCACAAAACTACACACACACACACACACACACACACACACACACACACACACACACACACACACACACACAAAACAAACAACATACGCACACGTACCGTAGAGGGTTGGGAACTGGGTGCCGAGGACGCGAAGAAAGGCGTCTGTGACCACGACGCTGGAGCGGAAGGCGAGGTGCTGGATGCCACACGAGCGAAACGCTTTGATGGACTTGCTGTTGAGTGTCTCTTTCTCAGCTGCGGCCGTCATCACTTCGCGTGCAAGCGTCTCCGGCAGCGTCAGCGTGAGAATGGGGCGGTCCGAGGCATACAGACGTGATGCAATCTGATCCACGCACATGGACTGCAGCGAAGGCGTGCGCTTGCGTGGCCTACTGCCGCGGTGGCGGTGGCTGTGGTGGTGTGCCCCTTCCCCCTCTCCATGTTCGTGTTGCTGCTGCTGCTCTTGGAGTTGCTGCTGACGCGTTTCCAGCATCCTTCGTCGCTGCTGTCGAAGCCGCTCCAGGCGTTCACGCTGCGACATCTGCTCATCATCATTATCATCATCGCCGCGCCTCCCACTGCCCACATCGTCATCATCGCTGTCATCGCCACCACCACCACCACCGCCGCCGCCGCCACCGCCAACACCACGACCACCAAGCACGTGTCCGCGACCAAGGCCTGCGCGTCGCCAGGGCCCCGGCCGCCCCATCATCCACCGGTCAATGCCATCGTCATCATCGTCATGATCGTCAAAGTACTGCACGCCCATTGCGTCATCAAAACGACCGCGCTGGCGCTGTACTGGCGCTTGCCGCCCTCGCCCCTCTCCTTGTTGCTGCTGTTGTTCCTCTGTTCGTCGCCCGCCCAAGCGCTGCCCTCCCTCCATCCAGTGACGATGACCACCGCCCCAGCCACGCCCGCGCGCCGCGTGGTGCCGGGGGAGCCCCATCCCCTCAAAGAACTCCGGCATGCCAAAGAGCCTGCCCAGCATGTCTTGACCCTGCTGAATGCGCTCACGATCAGCGTCGGTGAGCGGAGTGGCAGTGCCATCGTCGCCATCGTTGTGGTTGTGGTCAATGTCAATGTCATCATCGACATCCCTACCACCACCACCACCACCACCACCACCACCACCATGACGTCCACCGCCATCGTTCCCCTCCTCCTCTTCATCGCGATCATCATCATCATCATGCCTGGCTGCGTGTCCCCCAAGCCGCCTACCACTGCCGCTGCCGAGCGCTCCCCCGTGTTGCTGTCCGCGAATACCACCACCACCGCGCGCGGGGCGGCGTGCGTGCATGCGCTGTACCGCGTGCAGCTGTTGCTGCTGCTGTTGGGGGTGTTGATCCTCGTCTCTGTCGCCATCAGCGCCGCCCAAGCGATGGCCACGATGCCTTGAGCGAACACGACCATGCCGCTTTCCACCGCGTCCGCCAACAAACGCACGCGGCAGACCGTATTCGTCCTGCTCCTGCTGCACGCCGTGTTCTTGGCGGGGAGAAGTGACGCTGGGGGCATTGTCGTGACTTGCATCATCATCGTGCTGCTGCTGCTGCTGCTGCTGCTGCTGCTGTTGTTGCTGCCGTGTGGGTGCTTGGGCGCTGGAAGCTGTTGGTGTTGGTGTTGGTGTTGCTGTCTTGCGGCAGTGCAGCAGACATCGCGGTGGGAGGTTGAGGGTGGAGAGGGGCGATGACGCCATGTCGAACGTCAGCTCCTGTGCATTCAAGCAGATGAACGCACGGGCAGCGGTCAGATGAAAGGATGAAGAAGTGTTGAAGAAAGGAAGAAAGGCGAATGGAACCCACCATGCGTGTACAGATGCACACACACACACACAGACACACACACGCACACACACACACACACAGACACACACACACGTACACAAACACCTTTTTTGGATGGTTGAGGATGAGGGCGAAAGAGCCGGGAGCGAGGCCGCGCCTGGTGGCAATGGCGTCAAACACGGCCCGCAGCAGCGATGACGACGGCAGCTCAAGTCGCTCCGGCCGTCCGTTCGGCAGCCGCACCTGGATCACGTACGACGCTGGTGGTGTTGATGCTGGTGGCGATGCCTGAGTCTGAGGTTCTGCTCCTTGTGGCTGTGGCTGTGGCTGTGGCTGTGGCTGTGGCTGTGGCTGTGGCTGTGGCTGTGCCTGTGGCTGTGCCTGTGCCTGTGGCTGTGGCTGTGGCTGTGCCTGTGATGCCTGGCCACGCTCCAGTCTTCGCTTCTCCTGCAGCTCCCGCCGGTCCTGTTCGATCTGCCGCCGCACTCGCTTGGCCTCCTGGTTGCAGGAAATGAGGGCGCAGTTGGATGAACGTCACAGCCCATGTGCGCAAGAGTGAAGAAGTGAGGTTGCTGTGTGGGTGGAATGGTCAAGCTCACTGTTGCTCGGCAAGACTAAACAAAACAGACGTGCAGATGCAACCATGCCATTGCAAACACACACACACACACGCACACACACACGCACACACACGCACGCACACACACGCACGCACACACACACACGCAGACACACACACACACACACGCAGACACACACACACGCAGACACACACACACACACACGCACACGCACGCACCTCGATTTTGCGTCGCTTTTCCTTGAGGACGTCTTGTCGCAGCCGCTGCATCTGCTTCTGCTCAAAAGCGAGCTTGGCCTGTCGCTGCTCCTCATTCACAAACGCATTGCTCACCACAGCAGGTGCCTGCAACCAAGCCAGCATTGCAGAAGCGTCGGTGCGGGTATGCGTGCGTGTGCGTATGAGGGAGGCACACGGGCACCAGCGCATGGAAGGCCAGCGTGCTCAACACCAAACGCATGGTTCAGCAACGTGTGCAACATCAAGACATGCACAGCACCCTGTTTCGGTATCACACCTGTGAGGCAGCGGTGGATGACGGCGTTGGGCGCTTCTGTGGTTGCTTCTGCTGCCCTTGTTGTTGTTGTGGCTGCTGGTTGTGCCCCTGTGGTCCTTGACCAAGCTTGAGCACAGGCGCACTGCCGCCACTGCTGCTGCCGCCCGTCGATTTGTCTGCTGGTTCTTGCTCCTGTCTGCTCTGCTCCCTCACAATCCTGCACCGCAAACAAGGGCGAGGGGTCATGTGATGTGGATGATTCGTGGCCGTGGTCTTGGAATATATGAGCAACAAGAAGAAGGGGTTGAACAACCACTTACAGCATGCAAACACGCCGCCATGTCACATCACACAGCATCACACCGACAGCACCGACAGGGTTGGCCACACAAGTCGACTGGTCGATCGATTGATCGATCGATCAACGCATTGTAACCACCCGCGATCGCAGAAGATACCCCCTTGTCCAGCCGCGAATGACCCTGTTCTCTCTCACCAGTCGACGACGCTCTCCGGGGTCTGCGAGCCCGCAGCAATGGCTCGCAGGCACTGCTCCTCGGTGAACCCGAGCCCGCGCACCACCTGCACAAGGTCATCGCCTCCTTCCATCCTCTTGCTGCTGTCGAGCTGACTGCTTCCTGCTTCTCCGTCGTCTTGTCTTGCCTTGCCTGTCTTGCCTGTCTTGTCTTGCTTGTTTGGGTTGTTCGTGTGTGTGTGTTTGATTTGTGCGCTTTTTTCCTCTCCTCTTCTTTGCTTCTTCTTCACTGTCAGCACTTTTTCGCCCCTCTCAAGAAACACACAAGCAACAAGCAAGCACAAGAAACACAACCACAATAATGGAGCCCAAGACAGCAGAGAAGGTGCAAGCCGCCATCGAGGTGGCCAAGACCGTGTTCAAGTGGACCTACATCCCTGCCCTCATCTACTTTGGTCAGTGCGACGTTACTGTGCGTGTGCGTGAGTGCGTCTGTGGTTGAAGTAGTTGTTGAGTGGGCAGTGCTTGCTTGCTTTTGGGTCTGCTGTTTTCTTGCGGTCTCTGTCCCAAACGAGCAAATGTGTGTACGTATGGGTGTGCATATGGTGTGCGTGCGTGCATGTGCTTGTCGACGTGAGTGTGTGTTGTTTGGTCCCGGACCACCGCCCATTCTGTCTTGCTGACATGTTACTTTGTTGCTTGCTTTGCGCACAACAGGTCTCAACACTGGTCCCGCGCCAAGGCCGACACTGGCAGAGTGAGTCCTTCTGCGGTTGTCTGCGTTTGCAATGTCATGTATGTGTGTGTGTGTGTGTGTGTGTGTGTGTGTGTGTGTGTGTGTACGTGTGTGTACGTGTACGTGTGTGTATGTGTGTGTGTGGCATGCATAAGGCTACAGCTGCGCGAGTCTGGCCACATGCGCGCGCTTGCACACACGCGCTTGCACACACTCTCTCTCTCTCACGCCATCATCACACCATCACTATCATCATCAATTGCAGCGTCTTCACCCTCGGTGCATGAGCACCACATCCCCACACCTCCACACCACTTCCATCCCATCATCCCCCCCGCCCCGCAGCCAAGTTCCAAACCCCGTGTCTCTGTCCTTCCCCCTCGTTGATCCTTTCTGCCTGCACCAACAACAAGCGCCACCCACGTTGCTTGCTCTTTCGCCTGACCGCGTGGGTTGCCGAATTTTCGCGTCCAGCTTCCAATAAACTTCGACACCCTCCATTTTGTTTGTGTTTGGCAGCGTTGTTTGTTGTTTGGAGGAGACCAACCAACCAACCACCCACCCTTGTGTATCGTCGTCGCCTTGTGTGTCACACTTTCCTATCCCAGCCCATCGCCCACCTTCACCACCACCTCTTTCTCAATCAGCCTGCGAGAATGATCGTCGGTGCCGCTGTTGTGCTGCTGTGTGCAGTGCTGGGCGCGAGCGCAAAGCCCATTCCAATGAACACGCGCTTTGTGCCAGAGGCTGCCACGCCGCCACTCAAGACGATGCGCTTGCATCGTGAGGTTGGCGTTCGTGCGCCCGCGCCTCACCTGTACTCCTTCGACTACGAGATCAGCCTTCGCGGTGTGCAATACTCTGCGGCCGCATACTGCTCCAACTCCACCGTCAAGGACTGGTCCTGCAAGCCCTGCCACGGCGCTGGCCTTCCAGCGCTCTCGGTGCGTTCGTTTTGTGTTTGTTTGTGTTTCTTTATTGTGTTTGTGGGTGTGTATGTGCGTGTGTGTATGTGCGTGTGTGTGTGTGTGTGTGTTTGTGTGTGTGTGTGTGTGCGTATCTGTGTGTGTGTCTGTGTGTGTGTGTGCGTGTGTGTCTGTGTCTGTCTGTCTGTCTGTCTGTGTCTGTGTTTGTTTGCAAGCTCGTGCGCTTTCGTTTTGCCGTTCAAGCCGTTAGCCAACCGTATGCCTTTCGCGTATGACACCTTACGCGTACACGCACCCATCTTCGTCGCAGGACATCAACGTGTTCTATGCCAAGAAGACGTCCACGTACGGCTATGTCGGTCTGGATTCCGTCAACAAGTACATTGTCGTTGCGTTCCAAGGTCCGCTGCCATGCCCATCTTGCCTGCGACATGTCACTTGCATACGTGGGAGATGTCACCTGCCCAACGATTCTGTTTGACGCACCCTTCTGTATACTCACCCAATCCATGCTACCCTCCTCTCCTCTTCCTTAACGCCGTCCCCATCAACAAAGGCACGCACAACCTGAAGCAGTGGATTGATGACCTGAAGTTCATGAAGACAGACCTGCACTACCCTGGCGCCGGCTCGGACGTCAAGGTTCACAGAGGTATTTTTGTGTGTGTGTGTGCGTGTGTGTGTTTGTGCGTGTGTGTGTGCGTGTCGTTCAAATGACCACGTTTCGCTGCTCCTTGTGCGTGCGTGTGCATGGTGGTTTGCCCTGCTCTTGCGTCAACGTGTTCTTGTTGCTGATGCCCTCCCCGCACACACACTCACGATGGTGGTTGACAGGCTTCTACGAGGCGTACCAGGAGGTGAAAGGCACCGTCGACCGCTTTGTTGAGAGCACGTTCAGGCAGAACCCCAACTACCGCATCCTCGTCACAGGCCACAGGTCAGCAGGAGGGAGGGGCAAGCAATCTTATCTGTGTGTGTGTGTGTGTGTGTGTGTGTGTGTGTGTGTGTGCGACACTGCTTTCGGTTTGCCCGAGCCTGTTGTCGCAGCGACCCTGATTCACCTCCGTTTTCGATGTGATGTCATCACTCACTCGCCCACATTCTCACACACGCACACACGCGCGCGCGCACACACACACACACACTCTCTCTCTCTCTCTCTCTCACACACACACACACGCACACTCCCCCCCCCCAACAACACGCCACCCTTGCCCCCGTCAGCCTTGGCGCTGCGCTTGCTGCCATGTGCTCGCTGGACCTGAGCATCCAGTTCCCATCTGCGTCCATCTACCACTACACCTTTGGGCAGCCCCGTGTCGGCAACGCCCCCTTCTACGACTTTTTCAAGCAGTCGTCCATCAAGGCCTCGTTCCGTTTCGTCCACAACCGCGACATTGTGCCCCACCTCCCGCTCGAGTGCGTTCATCATGGGCTTATGTTTGTTTGTCTGTCTGTTTGTTTGTTTGTTTGTTTGTTTGTTTGTTTGTTTGTTTGTTTGTTTGTTTGTTTGTTTGTTTGTTTGTTTGTTTGTTTGTTTGTTTGTTGTTCGCATGTTCGTGTGCACACGTGTGTGTGTGTGTGTGTGTACCTGTGTGTACCTGTGTGTACCTGTGTGTACCTGTGTGTACGTGTGTGTGCATGTCTTCCTCTCTGTCTTGCTCTCTGATGAGCTTTTCGCCAGTGCAACCCCCCCAACACACACACACACATATGTTAACAATCACGTATGCCCTTTGCTTGCCACCATCGTCATCTTCGTCTCGTCCTCGCTGCGACCAGGGCGATGGGTTTCCACCATATTGCCACGGAGGTGTTCTACAAGGAGCAGTTTTCTGGCCCAGAGAGCCTGCACGAGTGCAACGGCTCAGGTCTGCTGAACACATGCGCTTGCACTTGGGGGTGCTTTGCAGTCAAACATGCTTGCCTTGTTTACCTGCTTGCCATCCTTCACAGTGAAACACACACACACACACTCTCTCTCTCACACACACACACACTCACACACACACACACACACACACACACACACACACACACACACACACACACACACACACACACACATGCAGGCGAGGACCCCGACTGCTCTGATCAGTTTAACGTCGACATTTCCATCTCGGACCACCTCAACTACCTTGGATTCACGGTAGACACCGACGCCTGCCACTAGAGTGACGGCCCACCCGTGTCCCCCACAACCTTAGAAGCACTGCACTTCTCCCCCTCCCTTTCGTGTCTTTTCGGTGTGTGTGTGTGTGTGTGTGCACGCTGTTTACGTTACATACGCATTTTTGTATGGGTGTGTGTGTGTGTGTGTGTGTGTGTCCATGAGTCAATCATTGTGGCCTGTTCCACACGTTCCCAAGCAGCCTTCCCTGTCTCCTTTAGTAATTTCATTGCCCTTGACATCTCTGACACACGTCTCTCTTGCATGTCTTCATTGATTGTTGTGTTGTGTGTGTGTGTGTGTGTGTGTTGTGTGTGTGTGTGTCCCTTCCCCAAATACATATCAACACATGCTTGGTTGAGAAGGTTGGATGCCGATAACGCAGAAAACATTGTTGGAGGCAAGTTAGCAACCAAGTAACCA